ACACACACAAAAAAATTTAAATGGTAAAAATAAATAATTTTTTAAAGGACTGGGATGTAGCTCAGTGGTAGAGCACCCCTGGGTTAATCCTCAGCACAGAAAGAAAACAATATTGACAGACAATGAAAGAATAGATTGAGAGAATCTCTTGGGTAAAGGGAGAAGTTGAAGAAATATATTTGAATACAGCAAAAGCAAATGAAGGGATGCATTTATAGTGGGAAGAGATTTCTAACTGGCAAGAGCAGTGGTTGGTGTTTCCCCAGGAACTGGGAACCCATAAATATGATAGTACTCCATTTATTCCAGTTTTTTAAAAAAATTGTCATTTTCAACAAAGTTTTTCCATATCTTTTTATTTCTAAATATTTTGTTTTTTATACTACAAGTGAAATGATTTCATTTTTCAAATATTTGCCACCACTAAAGAGAAGCATAATTGATTTTGTACACTGACTTAATAGTTTATGACTTAGTTTATGACCTTGCTAAGTTCACTTACAGTTCTAGTAGTTGTTTTGTAGATTTCTTAAGATTATCTATATAACAATCATGCTATGCGAACAGAGACACTTTACTTTCCCCTTTCCAATCTGAATGCCTCTGTTTTCCTCACCTTATTGCACTGTTTAGGACTCCAGTACAATATAGAATAGAAATGGCAAGGAGATCAAGAACAACCAGAGAAATGAAAAGTTTTGCTCTGTGTACGATGAAACGAAATGCATTCTTCTGAAAAAAATTTTAAATGTTAATATAAAAAGAAAAAAGAAATGGCAAGATGAGCATCCCTGTTTTGTTCCTGATCTTGGGGAGGAAAGTATTCAGTCTTTCAGAATGAATTATGATTTGTCAGTAGATATCCTGACTTGAGGAAGTTCCCCTATCCTCCTGGTTTCCTGAGTTTGTTTTATTTTTGTTTTGTTTTTATCAGGAAAAGGTGTTGAATCCTGTCAGACATATTTTGTCCATCAATTGGACTGATGTGATTTTTTTTTTTCTTTACTGTGTTAAGACAGTAGCTTACAAGGATTGGTTTTCAAAAACTTTAATCATCTTTGCATTCCTGAGGTAAACCTCACTTGGTTATGACATTAGTCTTTTTTATAAATTGTAGGATTCAATTTGCTAATATTTTCAAAGGATCATTGCACTATATTCACAAAGAATATTTATAGTTTGTTCTTCTTGCATGGAAGAGAAAACTATCAAAGAAAAAATTTCTTCAATAGTTTTGGGTTTTTTTTTTTTTTTTTTTTTTTTGGTATACCAGGGATTGACCCCTGGGGCACTTGACCTCTTAGCCACATCCCCAGCCCCAGCCCTATTTTTTGTATTTGATTTAGAGATAGGGTCTCACTGAGTTGCTTAACTCCTCACTTTTGCTGAGGTTGGCTTTGAACTCCAGATCCTCCTGCCTCAGTCTCCCAAGCCACTGGGATTACAGGCATGTGCCACCATGCCCGGCTTGATGGTATTTTTTCCAAACTTTTTGAAAAATATGTACTGAGTAGCTTCAGCTAAGCACTGGGTCACTTAAACAGAACTCTTAGCTCAGTGCTTTCCACAGAGTGCTCAGTAAATGCTAACTACTTTGGGGTGTAATTTCTAGATGCTGAAAATGAGACCTTGTTCTTAAGGAAAATTCCGAGGAAGATGGCATTTACATTTAAACAATTTTAAACATATTTAACATTGCTGCTTCATTCACCCCCACTTCCACCCTGGTCCTGGGGATTGAACCCAGGGGCACTTTACCACTAAACTACATCTCCAGCCTTTTTAATTATTTAGTTTGAGACAGGGTCTCGCTAAGTGGCTGATGGTGTTGGTGAATTGCCAAAGCTGGCCTCAAACTTGGGATCCTCCTGCCTCAGTGTTCCAAGTAGCTGGGATTGCTGGCCTATGCCACCATACCCCACTTTACATTGCTTATTTTACATATTAGATAGTTCTCTCCTGAAGCTGTCCAAGTGTGTACTCTATAATTCATGTGTGTGAGAGACACTGCTCCAGGGGAATCCTTATTTACCTTGTAGATGATTATACTGCTTTTGTGTAAATAGTGGAATTAGAACAGGGAACTGTTGAGATGAACCCTGTGCATGCTCCTTGTGAACAGAGCAAGAAGCAAGGATTCTGTCCATTTTTTTGCAGACATCAAGCACACCTACTGAGTGTTCTCATACTCTTTTATGTTGGGGGAAGAGGCATTCTCCTTTCTTGTACCAGTAATGAAATACAATGACATGACTCTCAAATTTGTTCTTGCCCTTCTCAAGGTATTATCCCCTGGCAACCTAGTCTCTTCCTTTCTTAAAAAAAAAAAAAAAAGACCAGCATCAAGCTGTGCATTATTCTCTTTCCCTTGCCAGGGTCAGACTGAATCAGCCAGTATCCTGGAGGTATCAGAAAGTTGGTATAAAACTAGGAAACTAAATCTCCAGGATATAGCCTCAGGGAGGGTTTGGTTGCCAGCATGCTAATTGGTACCCAACCACAGTCAACCAGACCTCTCCAGCCTCTTTTGGGGTGAAACACCATAGGAAATGGACTCTTCTCGAGTTTCCCCCAAGACCCTCCTGTTGAGTCCTATGCCAACGGGGCCCAATAGCCTCCTGCCCCCAGCCCAGCCCAATTTTTAGAAATGAAAGAAACTACTATGAGGACAGCCATTGACAAAGATGGTTTCATTCCTGCATTGGCTGCCTGGCTTTAGAACATTGATTCTTCCTCTTTGCAGTGTTTGTTGAATAATAATAATAATTATTATTATTTTGATGATGATGACGATGATGATACATGTGGCATTGGGGATCAAACCCAGAATATTGCAAATGCCAGGTAGAGCTCTACGACTGAGCTACAATCCCAGCCCTTTTTAAATTTTATTTTGAGACAGGATCTGGCTCAGTTGCCCAGACTGGCCTTGAATTCTGGATCCTCCTGCCTCTGCCTCCTGAGTAGGTAGGATTGTGCACCATCAGATCTGCCTTAGCTTATTTTTAACAGATAGTAAATACATCCATGTTTTGAAAAGTAAATGTATGTGTTTATAAATATGTGTGTAAACAGCTCTCTCCAGTTTCCAAAATGTAACTACTAGTTTCTTATTTATCACCCATATCTCCTCCCTTTTTATACAAAACTTATTATGCATAGCTTATTATACATACTTTGTTTATATTGCTTTATTCACATAACAATTTCTCTTTGCATGGTGGCACACAACTATAATCCTAGAGACTTGGAAGGCTAAAGCTGGATGATTACAAGTTCAAGGCCAACCTGGGCAATTTAGCTAGCCAGACCCTGTCTTAAAACAAAAGGCTAGGCTCCCACTCCTGTCATCCCAGTGGCTGGGGAGGCTGAGGCAGGAGGATTAAGAGTTCAAAGCAAGCCTCAGCAAAAAGCAAGATGCCAAGCAACTCAGTGAGACCCTCTCTCTAAATAAAATAAAATACAAAATGTACTGAGGCAGGAGGATCATGATACAAAATAGGGCTGAGGTTGTGGCTCAGTGGTGGAGTACCCCTGAGTTCAATCCCCAGTAACCCCCCAAAATAAAGACAAAAAGAAAGCAAAAAGGGTGTGGCTCGGTGATAGAGTACTTGCATAGCACACACGAGGCCCTAGGGTCAATAACCAGTACCACACAAAATATTTTTTTTCACTTCACACTCACAAGGATGGTTATTTTTTTTTAATGTTTATTTTACTTATATGTGGTGCTCACAGGATCGAACACAAGGCCCCACAATCCCAGCCCCACAAGGATGGTTATAATCAAAAAGACAATAACAAGTGTTGAAAGATATTCAGAAAAATTGGAACACTCATATGCTGCTGGTGGTAATTTAAGAGTGCCCCTGAGTTCAATCCCTGGTACCTGCCCCCCAAAAAAGAAGTTTGAATTAGTAGTTAGGGAAAGGTCATGAAGAGAAGAAGGGAGTGACTAAAAAGCATAAAAAGAGGGCTGGGGTGTCACTCAAAGGTAGAGTGTTTAGGCCATGGGTGCCCAAGGCTCTGGGTTCAATCCCCAACACAACAAAAAAACAAACAGAAAACAAAAACTTGCAATACCTCTGAGGTGTGGTGCCAATGAGAAAACGGATGCAAAAAAAAAAAAAAAAAAACTTTGAAATAATAAAACTCTTTTTTTAAATATTTATTTTTTAGTTTTTGGTGGACACAACATCTTTATTTTATTTGTATGTGGTGCTGAGGATCAAACCCAGCGCCCCACGCATGCCAGGCGAGTGTGTTACCACTTGAGCCATATCCCCAGCCCTCATAAAACTCTTTATAGTGGAAAAGATTCTTTTCGTTAAAGATAATCTCATACACAGTTCTTAGTATATTTTAAAATCAGCTTTAGCCAGGTGCAGTGGTGCCCAGCAGCTAGGCTCAGGAGGCTGAGGCAGGAGGATCATGAGTTCAAAGCCAGCCTCAGCAACAGGGAGGTACTAAGCAACTTAGACCCTGTCTCTAAATAAAATACAAAATAAGGCTGAGGATGTGGCTCAGTAGTTAAGTGCCTCTAAATTCAACCCCCAGGAACCCCCACAAAAATAAAAACCAGCTTTATTTAAATATCTTTTTTGGGGGCGGGGGGGGAGGGGCGCAGGGTACTGGGAATTGGGAAAAAAAAAAAGTTCCAGGCCAGCCTCAGCAACCCAGCTGAAGGAGACTGGGGATGTGGCTCATTGATAGAGCACCCCTGGGATTAATCCCCAGTACCAAAAAAAAAAGAAAACATTTATCTGAACTAATGTACTCTTTATTACCATGATCTACATTGATTCAAGTAGGAACTTCTTGTGGTGTAGCTGAAGAAGTGAGGTGGTTATGAATTAAGTAATAAGTCACTTAAGTGGTAGTAGGAGAGGAATCAAATTTAAAAATTTTTGAATCCATAATATTCTCACTTGATTCTAAAGTAAAAAAGAAAACAATGAAACTTAAAAGGAAAATATCTTACCCAACTTTTCTACCCAGTTTCCATCCCTTTCACTCACCCACCCAGATAATCAATTTTATTAATTGTGTATATATCTTTCCTGAGTTTGTTTTTGCAAATGCAAGTTAATATTTCTATTTAATATAAAAGATAACAAACAACTTACAGTTCTGCATCTTGCTTTTTTTAACTTAAGGACATATCTTAGGAATGTTCAGATATCAGTGCTTGTCTCACATGCCCAAGATCCTGGGTTTGATCCCCTGCACTGAAAAATAAAAAAGTTTAGACATTAATGCAGAGAGAACCTCCTTGTTCTTTTTTGACAGTTGCATAGTTTTCCACAATTTTACAGTTTGATATGAATGTGACACAGTTTAACTAGTTTTATGCTGATAGAGATTTGGATTGCTTCCAGTGTTTTGCAATTTCAGAGATTACTGTAATTAATGAACTTGATCTTACATAATCACACACACACAAGAAGAATGGGACTTCTAGGTCAAAGGCATATGCATTTGTAATGTTAGCAATTGCATAAATTTATTTCTCACTGGCAATGCATTTGAGTGCCAGTTTACCCAACCCAACATATAGGTATTATTAAAGCTTTCAAAGTATGCCAATCACATTTGTATCACATTGCAGGGTTTTTTGTTTGTTGGTTGGTTGGTTTTTGGTACTAGGAATTAAACCCAGGAGTACTTTACCACTGGAGCTATATCCCTAGTTCTTTTTGTGTTTTTATTTTGAGATCAGGTCACGATAAGCTGCTTAGGGCCTCCCTAAATTTCTGAGGCTGGTCGCAATCTTTGGCTCCTCCTTCCTCAGCCTCCTGAATGGCTAGGATTACAGTCATACACCACTATATCTGGAGTGACTTCTCATTATAGTTATAATTTGTATGTATCTTCTTATGTTTGAGGGTAAATATCTGTTTCTATGGTTTAAAGTCAGAAAGGATTTGACCAATCTTCTACTCAGATAAAGTTCTGAAAAATAATCTTAATGGCCAAGAATTTTCTTGAATTGAGATGAGTTAATTTCTATACGCATGCACCTGACTGTCTTAGAGGATATTCCCTCTGCCTGGATGGTCTCCCCAACCCTAACTTCATGTATTGGTCTTATTCTAATCTAGATTTAAATGCCAGCACCTAAATGAGGCTTTGGCTAGTACCTCGTCCTAGTGGCCACCTCTCTCTTTTAAAAAAAAAAAAATTTTAATATTTTATTAGTTGTTGATGAACCTTTATTTATTTATATGCGGTACTGAGAATTGAACCCAGTGCCTCATACATGCTAGGCAAGAGCTCCACCACTGAGTCCTAGTGGCCACCTCTCTAACGCATCATTCTATTTTCTTTCACTCCATAGAATTCATGGCTACATGATATTTTCTGACATATGTGTCAACTGATCTCTGTGTTCACTATTGTATCCTCAGTGTGTGATATTGTGCTTGGCACACAGTAGGTACTTAATAACCATCTATTGAGTAAATAAATGCCCAACTTCTGGAATGAGGGGAAAGGATGAAATTTCTAAAGAGAGTTTTTTGATATTGGAGTGTGGGAAAAGAATTTGACCTTGCTACTGGGTTGAAAATGCCTACAGGCATCCCTACTGCTTTATTTCCAGAGCATTTTAATTTTGTGCTAACTCTGAGCTGTGGACGTGAGACCTACCCCCGGTTAAGTTCAGGTTAGGTTTGGGACACTGAAATATTTTCTTTCATCCATAATCACTGAATCAAGTCCTATAAATCAAATAGTTAAGACGCAAAACACAAACAAGGTCATAATTTGTTTCTTCCTGCCCTCTGTTTTTCTTGGCATGAAAAAACTCAGGGTTTTTCAGACTAGAGATGGGTAATGACATTGGAGGGTGATTCATTGAAAGTGGTCTAAATAACTGGCCTTTTATTTCTTCTCATTCTTTCCCCTTATTGTCCCAACTCATGTAAGGAAACACATTGAATAAAATAGTTCTTCTGCTGATAAAGAACTTTCCCTTGACTCTTTGGTCATTTGCATCCACATGTTCCCAGAATCAAATTCTTGGAACTGAATGGGCTAACATAAGAAAGAATAGATGTGAGGGTATTTCTGGTAGAGAAGGAAGGTCAATGGCCCTGACTAGTGGAAATCTTGTCTCTTCCCAGCTTTTCGTACCGAAGCTGCCTATCAAGTAAGGAAATTGTTCTTGTCCCCAAAGACCCTGGCCACATAAGCAGGAGGCAGGTATGTCTATGGGCAAGTCTGACAGCCTCAGTTCTTCATCTGTAAAATGGGTGCTATCATACCAGACCTTGTTTAACAAGCATCATTACTTTCAACTGAGGCCAGGAGAAAGGGAAGTGGTAAAATCAAAAAAGCATTTAATAGTATATATACATCACAATATTAAGAGAAACAACAGAATATTTACTATTTTTATCTTCTACACTATGCACTTCTATATTATTTGAATTACTTGTATAAAATTTTTACAGGAATAATGAGCCCAGGTATGGTGGCACATTCCTGGAATCTCAGCAACTCAGGAGGCGGAGGCAGAAGGATCATAAGTTTGAGGTCAACATGGACAAATTAGTGAGGCCTTGTCTAAAAATTTTTTGTGGATCGAACTCAGAGTACACGACCACTGAGCCACATCCCCAGCCCTATTTTGTATTTTATTTAGAGACAGGGTCTCACTGAGTTGCCTAGAGCCTCACTATTGCTGAGGCTGGCTTTGAACTCGTGATGTTCCTGCCTTAGCCTCCTGAGCTGCTGGGATTACAGATGTGCACCGCCATGGCCCAGGTTGTCTAAAAGTTTTTAAAGGGCTGGGGATGTAGGTCTGTGGTAAAATGTCCCTGGGTTCAATCACGAAAGAAAGAAAGGAAGGAAGGAAGGGAGGGAGGGAGGGAAAGAAGGGAAGGAAGGGAGGAAGGGAAGAAAGGAAGAAAGAAAGAAAAAGTTTAGACAGTAATAAATCAAAATGCTAAAAGATAGTTCAGAGTTGAGAGTCGTAGTTAATTTTACCTTTTACCTTTATGTTTTTCTATATCTTTTTAGTTTTTTCAAAGATCATACATTCCTCTTGTAATTTAAAATAATAATAAAATGTATTTTAATTTAAATTGGTTTGTGTGTCCCAATCTCCTGCACATCTCTGTGGAAGTGAAACAATTTATTTTCCAAGAGGTGGGCACAGAGGATAAAAGTGGGAGGAGAGAGGTGGGGGACAAATGTGACTATGATCCTGGTCACATGAGGCTATGGAAAAATACCAGGGATGCCACACCCTCTACATGGCTCTGCTGAAGTCTAATTTTTGTGTGTGTGTGTGTTTCGTTTTTTGTTTTCCTACCTCCTGGTCCTGGGAATGAAATTTAGTGTCGCCTCTGCGAGGCAAGCAGCTCTACCACTGAGCTGTATCCCAGGCCACTGTTGAATCACTCTGTGTTGTTCCTGCCTGCCCCCTACCATATGAAATAAAACAGTTTGTCTCTCCTGCTGATATAAGTAAATCTAGCTTCCGTGCCTTTATTGCAACTTACCTCTGAGCACTCCACTGTTCCTGTGAGTTCCCTAGGAATTGCTCCTTGCTCTTGTGACCTTAATAAGAAAGGGGGAGAATAAGAGGGTGAATCTGTGGGTTGGTGGTTCTTGAGGATTTTTTCTTTTTTGGTACTGGGAATGGAACCTAGGGGTGCTTTACCATTGAGCTACGTCCCCAGTCCTTTTAATTTTTTATTTTGAGACAGGGTTCACAAATTTGCTTAGGGTCTCACAAAAATTGCTGAAGCTGGGGCTGGGGTTATAGCTCAGCAGTAGAGCGCTTGCCTCATACACGTGAGGCACTGGGTTCGATCCTCAGCACCACGTAAAGATAAATAAAATAAAGATATTGTGTCCATCTTTAAAATTGCTGAAGCTGCCCTTGAATTTGTAATCCTCCTGCCTCAGCCTCCGGAATTGCTGGGTTTAGAAGGATGCACCAATGTGCCCAACTTCTTGTTGACTATAGGGATTCAATTAATAGCAAGCCTTCTCCCTTCCCAGCTCTAAACTAATTGAGGGAGAAAAGAAAGCCAGAAGATGAATTATCTTCCAATAAAGGCTATAGGTTGGAGCTGGGCATTAGTGATGCACGCCCATAATTCCAGAGGCTTGGGAGACTGAGGCAGGAGGATCATGAGTTCTAAAGCCAGCCTCAGCAACTTCGAGGGGCTCTAAGCAGTTTAGGAAGACCCTTCTCAAAATAAAATATATAAAGGGCTGGGTATGTGACTCAGTGGTTAAGCTAACCCATGAGTTGGCTGAGTGTGTGTGCTAAACAAGCTTCCTGTTTATTGGGGAGTTTTGGTACCAGGGATTGAACCAAGGGGATCTTAACCACTGAGCCACATCCCCAGCTCCCTGCTTATTTCACCAAAATTTTTCACCTGCCCCAGGCAATGATAGAGCATGCTCCTTCCCAGCATTCCTCACCTCCACCCCACCAAAGTTGGGGATGACCCAGGACCTCACGCATGCCAGGCTAGCACTCTACCATTAAGCCCCCTCCCAGCATTTTGATCCTAGAAGCCCAGAAAGAGGAAGACACCGAGTGGTTCATGCCCAATTTTTCTTAATACCCTCCTTCTCCTATGTGCAGGATAAAAGGGTGAAGAGCAGCCTGGGTTACATTGGTTCATGACCCTCCACAGTGAAGGAGCTATCTGGAGTAGGAGGAAGCATTTTCCTCTCCAAAAGTCCGTACTGTTTCTTGGATCATAGAACATTATAAGACTGTGAAGCAAGTTATAAACAGTCACTATCTCAAGGGCTGAGGTTGTGGCTCAGTGGTAGAGCACTTGCCTGGCATGTGTGAGGCACTGAGTTCTATCCTCAGCACCACACATAAATAAATAAATAAAGGTCCATCAACAACTGAAAACATCTTGAAAAAATAAAAATAAACCACTATCTCAGAAAAATGCACCTAGGCACTGTGTTATGGAAATAATTGCCGGTTGGCCTTTCCCTTTTAGGAGCCCCAGCTTCTGAGAAATTGTTCTTACTCCATTCTGTGTGAAGGCAGTAGGGCTGCCTACTACCTAATCCTACAAAATCAGTATGTTCTGCCTCCCTTTGGTGACAGGATGGGCCGCGTGATCCGATCTACCCAATCACAGAAGCTCCTTTATTTGGCCCTTTTGTTTCAGGAATCAGGCATGATTTAAGGAAATCAACAAGGGAGTTAAGCAAGGTGGGGGCAGTTAGGGAAGACTACTGCTTTAAGAATACTAAAGTGGAAAAGAAAGAAGGCTGGAGCTGTATCTGCCAAGTGGAAAGATTCAGTCTGAAGAATGGAGCCTAACAAAGCAGAAAGGTGCCTTAAGGACATTATTGAACACTTGCATCTAGTCACAAACGAAATCTGGTGTCTTGGTTACAAGAGCCACTAAATTCGCCTTTTCTTCTTTTAAACTCCCAGCTCAAGTTAGTGTGAGGTGGGGTTCTGTTCTCTACAGCGCATACTCACACACAGAACTTGGCCTCCCTCTCCAAGGAGTGCTCAGACTGCCACAAACCTCCCCTGGATCTTATGAGTCCCTTCTCTCAGTGGTGCCCATTATAAGTTGAAAAACTGGTCAAGTATTCTAGAATATTCTAACAGATTTAGTTGCTGCATTTGTAGCAGCAATACTTGACTCTTCACATCCGCCCTCTTTCAGCTTGTCTACAATTTGGAAACCATAATGAAAATATAGCTTGGAGGATGTACGGCTTAAGAAAAGACAAATCACAGGATGCATTCGAATGCAGGAAATGCTAGAGAAAGAGTTTATTTACCTGAGGATGGAGAGATTAAGTTCGACTATCCTCTTTTTCTTTAGATGTGGTAGATGAGAGTTGCAATGGGAAGAGGAGAAAGAGAATCCCACCCAAACCAAAGAGGATGATGTTTGGGCAAGTTAACCCAAATAAAAGCACTAGGAAGGGGCTGGTGGGGGGGCGGGTGGCTCAGTGGCAGAGCACTTGCCTGTGAGGCACTGATTCAATCCTCAGCACCCACATATAAATAAGTAAACAAAATAAACGCATCGTGTCCATCTACAACTTAAAAAAAAAAGTGATACATGTCACTTGGAGAAACACCATACACTTAAAAAAAAAGTGCTAGATGGGCTGGAGTTGTAGCTCAGTGGTAGAGCACTTATCTTGCATTTGTGAGGCCCTGGGTTCGATCTTCAGCACCACATAAAAATATTAAATAAGATAAAGATACTATTAAAAAAAACTAGAAATTTGATGCAAGGGGCTGGGATTGTGGCTCAGTGGTAGAGCGCTCGCCTAGCACATGCCAGGCCCTGGGTTCGATCCTCTGCACCACATAAAAAATAAATAAATAAATGAAATAAAGGTATTGCGTCCATCTACAACTAAAAATTTTTTTTTTAATTTTAAAAAAAGAAGTTTGATGCAAAATATGTAGGAGAATCTGTGTGATAATAATGCCTTTTTTTTCTTTTGGTATCCTTATTGAACTTGGGGTGCTTAACTGCTGAGCCACATCCCTAGATCTTTTTTATTTTGAGACAATGTCCATGCTAAGTCGCTTAGGACCTTGCTAAATTGCTGAAGCTGGCTTTAAATTTGTGGCCCTCCTGCCTCAGCCTTCTGAGCCTCTGGGATTGCAAGCATGTGCCACCCCCACCCAGCCTAACCTTTTATTAAGCATTTCCTTTGAGCTAGATGTTGTACTAAGCATTTTACATGCATTATAGCAATTCTAGGTGATGGGTACTATGCTTACAACCATATTACAGATGGTAAAACTGAGATGGGTTAGGAACTTGCCAAAGGATCTTCCAGTTGCTGGAGTCAGGATTTGACACCAGGGCCATCTGAACCATGTCTTCCTAACCACCTTGTCCTTTCTCTCTAATTTAAGACAGGTTTGACTCTATCTCTGTCACGTGCTAATTGAGTAACCTTGAGCAAGTCATCCCCTCAGCCTGTTGCCTCAAGTGGAAAATGCAGGGATTATACAAAATCACTTTCCCCACTCCCTTTCAACTCTAACTTAATTCCAAAAGTTTAAAGATCTCCAGTGCCCCAACTAGGATTTGTATTCTTGAGGGTTCCTCCCCTCCACCCAAGACCCTATACATTGGTTTTCCCATGGATTCAGGATAAAAAATCTCCTTGGGGTTATGTACTTTTTTGAAATGGATTCAAAGGCAGAGGAATTGGAAAGCCTCCTTCCTTGCTGAGTGAATCAGCATCCCGTGAGCACAGGTGACAAGTTCTGACCCGTCCCTTCACTGTGTGATAAACCCAAAGGTCACGGCTCTGAACTTGAACCTGCTTTCACTTCTTCCTGCCTTTTTGTGGGTTTTCTGATAAGGTGCTCTAAGTCAGCTGTGACACTGTTTTTCTCTCCTTGTGTACACAGTCCCCAGGGCATACACTCTGCCTACAAACTCCCCAGCTGCTTCCAGCTCTCCCTCTGCCCACAGCCCTTTATTGCTGCATTCCAACAAATTAGCCATGTGACAGAAGATTATTTTTAACTTCAATAGAGCAGCTCCCTCTCTTAATATATCATGCTTGGCCCACATTCCCTCGGTGAAAAGGGCAATAGCGGCTACTTCTGAGAACTTTTAATTACTTCAATTGTTTGCAAAACTCTCTTAGAAGCTTGGGGAAAAAAAGCTACTTCTTTCACCTTTCCCTTCCAGTCCTCTTCTCTGCTTTTCTTACTGGTTATTTATTGTTGAATTCAACCTTGGAACTTACCAGGGCTCCCCAAATCCCTCTCACCCCCTGCCCCAGCTGCTGCCTGTTTTCCATAGAAGGGTTTTTTAAAGTTCAAATCCAACTGGGAGAGAGAAGGGAAGGCAAGTGGCAGAGTGACAGAGGCCCCCCACTTCAGTCCCATACAGAACCCCAGCAGACAGCAGGGTGGGGGTGACTGGAGGCATCAGAAGCACTGAGCATTAAGTATTTCCTAGGTCTCAGGACAATCCAAGAGGTTCTAATGGTTGGCCTTTGACACTAAAACTGGGCCTTCTACCTTTAAGTCATCTACACAGAATCACGAACATCTCAGTTGCCACTGGATGAACCAAGGCCCTTCTCCAATTTTCCTGAATTTTCTAAACTCCAGATACTTCTCAAATCTCAGGAGGCCAAGTATGACAAAAAAATTATTGGGATTATATCTCCCACCTCCACCTAGAAGGTAGACAGAGTTACATTCAAGTATCCAGAATTGAGAAATGTGTAGTTTCTGATGCCTGAGTTTTGCAAAGTCATTCACACAGGTTATAATAGTATGTGTATCATTCCAGCTGTTTCTCTAGTATTATGTATTTTGACACAAGGTGAACTATAAAAAGATTCAGGGTATAGTGGTGCATGCCTGTAATCCCAGCTACTCAGGAGGTTGAGGCAGGAGGATCACAATTGACAATTTAGCAAAACCCTGTTTCAAAATAAAAAATAAAAAGTGCTGAGGATATACTTCAGTGGTACAGTGCCTGTGGGTTCAACCCCAGTACCTTGGGGTGGGGGTGGGGGATTATAAAAAGATTATTTATAGCTGGGGACTTGGTGGCACATGC